ATATATATATATATATATATATTTCTTTAATATATATATATATATATATTTAAAATATATTATTAAATTAAAAGCATAAAATCACAAAAATAATATATGTTTAATATAATACTATTTCATAAATACATATAACTTTCGTACAATGCTTTATAATTTTGTTGTTTCTGATTGTACACGTTAACGAGCCCAACATTCAAAAGACCCAGCGACTACAATCAATACCCAATAGTTTCTGAAATCAAGAGATTTGCTCTGTTACCTTAAAATGTTTCATTTTATAATAATAATAATAAGCTTTTCATCCTTTGTATAAAAATATTCTGTGAACAAATCATTTTAAATGTTATTTAATTGGTAATTAGTCATTGAAATGATGAATCAGTAAAAATTGACGAATTAATTCGATAATTATTTGCAGTATATATTTCGGGATAACGAGTGGCCTCGGTGTTGATGAGAGGGTAACAAGAGCGTGGTAACGTACAGGGACGACCATCCTCGTTAATACCACGCACATCAATCAATAAATATATAAAATCAAAATAGAAAATATCATTTATTTTATGCTCCCAATAAAAGTAGAAGAAAAATAACTGCAATAGTCAATTTTTCCATAACTTTATATATTTTAATTTAAATAAAAAATCCTTAATATGGTTATTTATTTATTTCTTATAAAAATTTCAACAAACTTAATATGGTTATTTATTTATTTTCAATGATATTATTTTATCTTTCAAATACAAACTTTCATTAAGTTACTGTACATAATTTTTTTATTAAATTAAAAACTTTTGGTAAGTAATTATATATTATATAATTTTTTCTAAAATTATTTTTTTATAAGAAAAATAAAAACACAAAATATCTTAATCTCACTAATTATATATAACACCTGTAGTAATATATAAATTATATTTTTGTTATGAGATAAGATTATTTTAACTATAATTAGTTAAAAATAGTAAAGTTAATTAAAAATATTATGATAAACATAAATCAAAATGAAATAGATAAAAACTTTCTTTTAAAATTATTTTTGTTAGAAGATAATTATTGGTATTTTATTAGTTTGAGATTAGATGAGGTGGATGGAGTAGTTCATTTTCTGTTTTAATTTTATTTTTGAAAAGGAGTTACATAATGTTATCTAAAGAAGGTTTTTTAGGTTCATAAAAATAAAAATAAAAAAAGAAAAAATAGAAAGAGGAAACGCAAAATATCGAAAATGTTAGCGTTGTGTGTCGCACTTGGTTGTCCTATAAAAGCGGGTAACAAGGGAAAGAAAGGCAAGGAAGAATTTCAAGAAACAGTGGAAGGAGGGAGGGAGGGAGAAAGAAAAGAGAAATAATTAACAGCATCATCAACAACGAAACGAAACGAAACGAAACTCCTCTCAACTACTGCATTGTTTCTTCAAGTAAGATAAGACTCTTTCCTTATTCCCTTACTCACTCTCCTTCAACACACACTGATTATTATTATTATTTGTTTTATGGTAACATTTATTCATATGTATGTATGTATGTATCTATGTACGTGTATGTGCAGATGGTGGCAAGAGTTTGCAGTGGAAGACATTGTTGATTTGAGAGATGGCGAGTTACGAGGCTATTAAAAACTTTGATGATGATGATGTGGAGATGGCGCTTCCTCATAACCAGATCTCTGAATCAAGATCTGCCACTGTTAATCGAGAAGCCATTAACAACATTGAGGAGCAACGTTCATCCTCGTCCAGACACCAACAACCTCAGAACAAACCTCAGCGTCTTGTTTCGCTCGATGTTTTTCGTGGTCTCACCGTAGCGGTAATCTCTCTCATCCTCTTCCTCTTTTTCCTTTTCTTGTTTTCTTCTTTCTGTTTTTAGAAAATAAGGAGGAAATTAATTATTTTGCCTAATAAAGCGGACGCATAGTTTTTAAGCCGTTAATCGATTAATTAAGATTTGTTTTTATTAGAAATGGCATGGTTCGTTGCCGAGAGTTTTGGAAGGAGCCAAACGACGTCGTTTGGTCCTTTCTTCTTTCCTTCCTTGGATTTGGACTCGGTGATAGTACAAAAATGTTATAATACAAGTGATGAGGTTGTTGCGCAATGCGCACCTCTCACTAGACCTAATCATGAGTACTGACTCACCCACCCGTGATGATTCTTTTTAATTTAAAATTGGTTATTGCTTATGGCAGGAAGATTTAAGCTGTGTTTGGATTGGTTTTCAGTTTTACCAAAACTAAGTTGAAGTTCTTAGGAGGTATCCGAATACAGTATGATTGATAGGGATTAGAATTTTCGGGTGTGGAGGTAAAGGGAGAGATTCCTGGAAATTATTTTTTAATTTTCTGGCTTTAAATTGTCATCTCAATTTGACTCCTGGGAGAATCCAAACTCGAAAGAGTGTGCACGTGTTAAAGTAATGTTGCTTTCCTTTGAAGAAAAGAATAGCGTTTGGTGTTACCGTCCGTTGTTTCGTTTTGTGACTTTGTTCTCCTTTTTCGGAGATATTGTTTTGTTACTCACCCCTTGTCGTTCGGAAAGCCTTCCATATAAATAGAATTACGGCTACTAGCCTCTTTCCGTAAAAATCCTAATATTCGCACATTTTACTTTTAACACAAATATTTTCTACTACTTTTTATTCTTCTTTAACAAAAATATTATCTTATTCTATTGAACTTTTAGTAATTCTAAAATTGTTTTTTAATCCCCATCTTTTTATTAGAGAGTTTGTGTTGTTTCTCTTTAGTCTTTTGGAGAGCCGTCCATTTAAACAGCACTACGGCTACTTGCCCTTTCGAAAAAAATATCACAATATTCTTTTATTATATAGTGTATATATATATATTTATTTATTTTCTTTGTTTTAAAATCATAACATCTCTGCATTTTCTTACATCACACTGTCCATTGACTTTTATCATTATTCTTGAATTTATTATCGCATATTAAATATTTTTTAATTTAATTACGCTTCTAATTGTAGATGGATTTCATCTGTTTTTTTCCCCAATTGCATATTTGAGCACTTATTGATTTGAGAAGTAAACAGTATATCCCAACTCCCAAGCGATTAAGTACTTTCCTGTTTTCTAACGGCCTATATAACAATATATAATATACAACATCATACAACAATCATACATGAAAGTTATAACAATTCAAGCAAACATGTATCTCATCCAAATCATGTCACATAAAACACCAACAATGCATATGAGCACACCTCAATACACATAATATGCAACATATTAACCAATGCATCGTCACACATTCACCTACGAAGATCTCTTAACAACATGAGCAGTCTAAGTGATTTCCACCCTATCAAACCAACCCAATCGTTTTCACACCCAAATCACTTGTTCGATCACAACAAAATGGGATATCAATTCCTCCTCTAATTTCTCGGGTCTTATCACTTACTTTAAGAAAGTTTGATTCCACAATTAAGAATAGAACAATTAGGTATAGGCTTACAATGAACTTAGCATGCATTACTAAGTCACATACAAAATTCGTCCATTGATTATCCTAAAGGAACCATGCAACTTTTCCAAGTACTTTGTTAAGCGTTGTAGTCCTTGACCTCTTATCTTACTCAATCAATAACTAAGGACCTAAGAGAGACACAACACACCTCAAAAACCTACTCCAAGAGACATACCTACTCGAGGAGGGTTTTCCCAACAATGGTCTACTCGAGCACCATTTCAAGATATCTTATGTGAGATCTTCAATTTTCAAAATAATTTTCTCTCCTCAAGTCTTGAGTTAGCCACTATGCTTTAATGTCACACCGCGTTCTCAACATCTACACCTCACCATAATCTACTATATACATCACATCCAGTCAATGTATATAAAGATCAACAACAACATCAATCATGTATAGCATACCCATGTTTAACAATTATTCCAAGAATAACATACTAGTACTTAACAATTTGTCATAAAATAGCATACCAATGTTTAACAATTCATCTAAATATAACATATTAATGCTTAACATTTCGTACAAGAATAACATATCAAACATACACCATTTCAACTACACAAATATAGCATACCAATGTTTATTATCATCATCCTACATCGTAGAACATGTATCAACATACATATACATCAAGATTTCACAATCAAAGCAACATGCAATCATACATCAAGAATTTACCATGAGCCAAAGATTCATAGCTTCAAAAACTCCTTATTGTTATTAATTTCATCAAGAGGAGTGGGGAAAAAGCAACAGAAGATTTGTCGATCAGCATTGGGAGCAATGCTCAACCCTAAATTCTTTGTGAGTCCCAATGCTCAATATTAGAGAGTAATGCTCAGTCTCAAAATCTTTATCAATCTCAATGCTTAGCATCAAAGAGCAATGTTCAACCTCAAATTCTCTGTCAATCTTAGTGCTCAACCTCAAAGAGCAATGCTTAGCCTCAAAATCTCTGAGTCTCGATGCTTAGCTTCAAAGAGAACAATGTTAAACATTGTGACTAGACAACCAATCAATATCATTCAACTCCAAAACTTCATATTCACACGGGAAACTTAGAAATTTTATATAATGTTATTCTAATATTTGATTATAGATCATTAAAAATTAAATTTAAAAAAAATACAATTAGAATTTAGAAGCATTTGAAGTACGTGTACGCATATTCGTTTTTTATGAAACAGGCACAGCACGTTGTTACTCGTTACTGTTTTGAAATCAGAGAAGTATCCTAGGAGTAGGAGAGGACATCAACATTGATTCAAAAGAAAATCCTATTCATCTTTTAATAACATTTTAATACAAAGCTTGCACAAAGTTTTGGTATTTATAGCCAATATTTCGTAACAGTTGAATAATACAAGTCATATACATATAGAACCGACTATATTATGAATCATACACATGTATTGATACCAACTGCTAAAACTGCTCGATTTATCCAAAAGTATTATTCCCACTATTATGATTCTTATATTAATTAAAACTCTCTATATAACATTAACATATACCCCTCCGATCCTGACCATGAGTTTGATAGAAATTTCGAGAAACACTTTCTATTACTACAAATTATCCTGTAACAGTACACCCACTTGTGATATACTTGTTGTGGTCGTACTGCGATATTATATTATATATGTGGATGCAAGTATGGAATTAAATGATTCTTTTATTCTAAAGTGTACTTAATTTATAGTTTATATATACCAGAAGATCTGATATAGTATCTCTCGGTTGTCCACCCAAACAACTTAAAGGTACGTGGATGAAGAAAGGAAGAATGAGAATTTAATACAACTTTTTTTCACATATAGCTCTCGAACATGTTCATTTATTTGGACCGAGGTGCATATTTTCCTTTTTCACCACATACATCTCAAATATTTTCTTTTACTAATATCATAAATGATATACATTATCAATGCAACATTTTAAAATCTAATTAAATATATACCGTTTATATTAATAATAACCATTCTAATGACTGATATCCTTCTTTGTTAAAACATGATATTTTTAATCATTAAATAAGTTTTACTCCCTCAACTTTTTAAGATTTTAATTTTAATTTTTTATTTTTTTTAACTTTTAATCTTCTATTATTTCTTTGTAATATAAATTACTTCTTATGATTAAGTGTTTTAAGTTAAATACTGATGAATTTTAATATATCATGACGAGTTTGATTCATAATGTATTATGTGACTATTTAGTAGATACATAATCTCATGAGATGAGTGATTTTTTTATTTGTTCATGTTCAAATATTTATTTAAAATAAAAGACATTATTAAAACAACACAATGATCATGAGAAAATAATAAAATTATACATATTATATGATTTGACATTTATTAGATAGTCAGGTGAATGTCAATAATCAAATTGATCATATTTATCAACACATATTATTACTTAATAAGTGAAACTTAATTTTAAGAATGAACAGAAAATTAATTGATAATTAAAAGTTGACAAATTTTTTTAATAAAATTAAAAATTAATTCTTAAAAAGTTGAGAGGTTAAAAACTTATTTATTCCTATTTTTAATCGTGTGTATAAGGTAAAAGGCTTAAGAAAATCAAGAAAACAAATATTTTAATGATTACAGATTATCAATATATAAAAATTAAAATATAAAATTATGTCACTTTTTCAGTTTAATAAATAACTGATAATGTGGTTAATTCATGAAATATTAAATTGTTAATATTAACTTTTTTACTTCCCACCATAATAATATATTAACACGCCCCTGCGGCGATATGCACTCTGAGCTGAAAATGTCAACGGAATCATTATAGTTAGCAAAACCTAGAAAGCATAGAGATAAAGAAGCAAACAATTTTCTGTGTCTGGTTCTATAGATTTCTTTATATATTGCTTACTTGTTGTTTTGTTTTGTAAAACAAAACATCAAAAAAGTATTGGTCACAAGGGAATATTTCAAAATTTGGAGAAGATGAATATTAGCATCTTTCAAGCCTGATTTTTATATTCACCTCCTACTTTTGGAACCCTTTTAGACAAAGCTGAAAACTTCGAATATTTCACTTTCACCTCATTGACCATTTTTTTTTTAAAAAAATGTTTTTATTCTTGAAAGCATAACATCTTATATTATAATCTCCATAAACTTTTATACATGTTTTAATGCTTGTATTAAAAAATATTAAAGTTAGAAGTTTGAAAATTATGTATGGAAATTTAAATGGTTGAATTGAATAAGCACCATATAAACTTTTAAAATGTGATTCATCAATCTCGGCTAAAGTGAATTTTTTGAAAATAAGAGAGATAATAAATTGTTCCGTTTAAATTAAATAAACATGATATTTTTCATAAAATATAGTTCTCCAAGTTTTCTCACCTATAGTATTTTTTTAGCATGGGATTAATTAACAAACCGACTCATTTAAATTAATCTTTAGTTTAAAAGTTATAAGTATACTATTTTTTTATAAAAAAATAATCCGCAACCTAATGTTGTCAAGCTTGAGTTTATAAAACTAACTATCAAATTTTCAGGCCAGCTACACACAGATAAATTCATTCCAACTTGTTACATGTATACGTCTAGTGGTAAGAGCTTAGAGTAGTGTGTATAAGACCTTAAATTCAAATCTTGTTGTAATTCAATGGATAAAAAAAAACTAGTTAAATAACACATACAAAAATGTAAAATAAAAAGTTGTTTTATTTATCTTTTAATTTTTCTCGCTAATTTCTACTTTTTGTGCGGTGAGGTCTTTGACTCTATGGGCGAAGACCGAAGTTAAGACTCGGGCTCATTGATTGCTGGAACATAGCTAAACACATTAGATTTGAGTGTGGGCCGTGATGTGTGCCTGCTGATTGAAGAGTGGCTCATGATATATACACCTCCTTTTTTTAAAAAATTATAAAATATTATAAATTTTATAAAAAAAAAAATTAATTTTACACTTTCAACTTTTACTTTCTTCTTCTTATTCACACACTTTTTTTTTCTCTTTTAATTTTCACATACTACTAAAATAGGTGGGGTGAAGGAAAAATAAGGAATGCATGTAAAAATTGAAAAAAGGAGGAAAGATATGTGAAAAAAAATACTAAATAAAATATTGTGAATGTAAAATTAAAAAATTAAAAACAAAAAATTAAAAATATTTTAAAATTTTAATTATTTTTTTTAAAAAGAGGTGTACTTATAAAAAAAAGGAGGTGTATATGTCATGAACCTTGAAGAGTGAGGATGGTGAAGTTAGTGAGAGTCCAAAGAAAGGGACCAATGGTGCTTGTCAGAGAGGCGCATCAAGACACTACTAGGACTTTATTTTATGATTATTATTTTGAGTGTTTATGTCCTTGTAATTTCATTGATTCCTGAGTTTGAAAATGCTTTGGGACACACCCTGCAATAAACATTAGATTCTGCTTTAGACCTATTGTATTTGTTTCATTTTTGAAATAGACCGAGATAAAATAATCATGGCATCACCAAAATATACATACTTGGAATACAATGTTACTCTAGCGAATAGTGATTCACAATCACATATTGACCTGAATGATAGAGTATCCACTTGCACCCCAGCTTTAGATTGATCACTATGGGCCTAAAACAGAGATGGCAGCACAGGAAAGAGGAGAGGCAGAGTGAGGAGAAACGGAAGCCCAGGGAGGAATGGAAGGTTAAACAGGAAGAAATGGAAGAAAGAAAAAATTATCTCGTCCACTCATTTTAGATTAAAATATAAAAGGCCAGAGTGGAAGACAATCTAATTCTCCCACCGAAGGCTTCACCTAAAACGTTAACCCTAGCCATTCCTGAATATGGCAACGTTTACTCAATAATGCATCAAATAAACGGTAAGGCGTAATTTGCTAGTTATTGCATTTCAACTCAAATAAATAGCCATACCATTAACTCATCAAACAAGACTGATTTAAATTTTTCCGGGTGGGCTAAACGTAATAACAAAAATGCATTTCACCATCTTCCTCATACAAATTTAGGCAAGCACATGCATGAATACCTAAATTCACAAACATATCGTACAGAATATATGGTCGTTCAGATGTACTTTAGACCAGAGATATATTGTTGCCTAGTGATTAGATACTGAGCCAGGGAATATATAACTCCTAATATACCCAAGATCTTAATCTTGAGTACGTCTGTACATGCAATTGGAAGCAGATTAAGAGGCAAAGTTATCCACGGGGGTGAATCACTATGCTTCGTATGGCTCCACACATACCTGTTGAAAAGTATATGACTGGGAAACGTAAGAATGAGGAGTGCCAAATTCTTCACCACAAAAATCCAGTCTGGCCCACCGATTTGAAGACCCCATCCACTATTGAATTGCCAAACCTCTTCCCATATGCTGTAGAGGGCAGTTAGAACAAAGTACACTGAGATGACAACAGTCACAGGAAAATATCTGTGTTTGTCCCCAAAACCAGCAACAAAATCCGAATCCTGATTAAGCAGAAGCAGTATAGGAGCCAGGAAAAATATGGAGCGATTTGAGCCACCAGTAAGGTTAACATTCAGCACTAGACATATAGCAAAGCACAACACTGTGGCAACATTGCCAACAGCAGGCATCCAGGCTCCATCAGCAGCCATCCTCTTAATTGTAAAGGCAGGTACTGCAGTAGCCCGACGATGCTGCATAAACCTCATTCTTGGCAGTAGACTGGCAGATGCACTTTGACTGGAATGATTTTGTCTAATTCCACCTGAATCAATAACCTTCTCCCGCAAAATTGAAGCAAGTTTATACTTTATCTCCAAGGCTATAAGCATGAAGATTGCAGCATACAAACCAAGAAGAGATGTCCGGGCACCCTCAATAGCCAGCAATGTTGTAAGCTTCTTCTCCTCCTCACCCAAATCTCCCATCGCACTATCATCAAGAATATTTTTAATTCTCAGCTGGCCCTCCAAAAGATACGTAACAGGAAAGAGAGCCACGAGTAGAGCAAATACCCAGGGCAAAAGCTTTGTGCTTGTAGCAGAGGGCAAATGAGTGAAGACAACAAAAACGGAGGTACAGACCATAGTGACAACAATGAGAACATGCAGAACACCAGCCCAGAGAAAGTATTCAGCAGCAATGTAGATACCAAGGGCAACCCCCATAGCAATGGAGTAAAATGTTCGTAATTCAACAATGTATTTAATGGGTATAATAGATGTAACAGATGCTAGAGTCAGCAAAATTGCAATAATAAGAAGCCAAGAAGGCCAGGTAGGCTTGCCAGCTATATAACCATAAATTGAGATATCATCGGCAGAGTGACGAGCAGTCTTGATAAGATCAGAATGGTAAGTCAATGACACAGGAAGAGGCGGCTGCATCAAAATAAAAAGTAGACCAGTTGCCACTACCAGCACTAGACATCTTTTGGCAGACTGCACAGGAAACAATAGTTTATATTATTAAGGAAAACATGATCAACTACTTTGTCGACAATAAATAACAAAAAACACAGATTAGAAAGATATGCATACCAAAACATGAGAGAAATGAATAGCAACAATTGGAACACAAGCCAATCCAGTCGACAGTATACAGAAGCCCAAAATTAAACCATCTGAGGGAGACCTTCCATTCCACCACTGGAGGGCTTCAAAAATTGTTTCGCGGCAAAACCATACTGACAAGGCAACTACACAGGCATGTGCATAACCTTGCCATGGTTTCATCCTAGAAGTTGTTTTTGATCCATCCCTACATAATCCAACAGAGAAATATCATAAGGACAACAAAGTCTAGGGGCGAAATGTGTTAGAATCCCTCCAACCTGACAAATTCCAAAGATTGTCATAATTACCTGTAAAGAAGCAATGGAGGAGAAACAGCCAACAAGAGAACTGCAGAAACCCATACAACTGACTTTGATGAAATAAATAACATGGCAAGCTTTGAAGAAAAGAGGCAAGTCAAAATCCAAACTGCTTTCCCTCCAATTCGATGATCCACAGATAGCCTTCTCACCAAAGCCAAACCCAATAACGTTGTCATCACAACCATATAGCTAGGATACATCACCTCATCCTCAAATCCATAATAGTAAATGCTGGAGTAATTGAAAAATCGGTTCTCAATGTAGCATAAGAGCAGCGCATGGCTTATCAGACCAGCCTCAGATAAAAAGTTCAACTTTGAAGGTAAAAGAGCTAAACCAGGAATAGCCATAGCCAGAACAGCATTTGCTATTATGAGTTTACAAAATGATTTAAGGGACATGCCTGCCATCCAAATATTTAAATCCCAGAAGTTGTGCAGAACAAACCATGTAACCATCAAACTTCCAAGAATAACAAAAGCAAAATATGATGCTAGACTCTTCTTTTCAAAAAAACGAGCCAAATAAAAGCCAGCAACTGCAGGTAGAGGGAGGAACTGCAAATCAAAGGTTGAAAATATCTCAGTAATAAAGAGAAAACCAAAAAGGGGTCGCAAAATTAAAATTTAACCAAAAACATAAGCAATATTATCATCATCCACCAAAGAAGCCAGCACATCAAGAATTGAATTTTCAAGAAAAACGCCATACAGTTAACCACCCAGTTATTTCATGAAGCAATATGAATTTTAGCACATCAAACAGTATTTTCTAGTTTCAACATTTAATATGATGACAAGGGTAGTTAATTGTGAGTCAGCAGCCATCCTAAAAACCACTATAACGGTGTAGTAGATCATAGAGTGGCCTTACACTGAAGTCAGCAGATACAATTAAAAAGTATCATAAATTAAAGCATACATGATTCACTATTTTAATTTTAATATAAATAATAATAAATAAATAAATAAAAATGAAGTTTGCAACATTGTGTTAAAATTAAAGATTCTAATTTATAATCATTATACATAATTATAAATTATATCAATTTTACCATTGTTGAGAATTTGAGATCCTACATAGATTAGGGATACGGTAAATAAGTCCTTATAAGGCTTGATCTGTCCTCACCTTGCAAGCTAGTCTAGTGGGGTTGAGTTAGATCCAATGTTTTAAATCCCAGATAGCTGCGCATAGCGACCAGCGCAATAACTCTATAGCAAGATAGCCACTATTTGGAAATTTTTATATAGTTTATATAATGTGTATACACATGTAAATTCTCAAAATTGATAAAGGTTACTCAAAATTAATGACATTCATAATGAACAATAAAAAGTCATAGGAGTCTTAAACAAATCATACAAGTAAATACCAACAAAAGTCAACCACAATTTTCATAGATAGGAATCATCATTCAGCATCACTGCATAGCACCCAAACGCTCAGCTATGGCATCCCTTGTAGCAGGTAGGGACCGCTCCACACACCTACACAGCTATAGCATGCTATTTAAAACCCTGGTAAGATGCTAGGTCCAATTATAAGATAATATCATAGCCTATCCTAAATCTGTTATTGGGCCACCTATATTTGTCTAAGCTCTAGATGCTATTCCTAAGCATGAGTGTTGTTTAAACAATGGCAGCACGGGAGTTTGACCTGCTAGATAATTAAACTTCTAACACTAGCTCACTCCTAGTAGCTTCCAACAGTGCAAAATTCTCTAAGTATTGTATTTAATTCAATTCTCTTAAAGTTTATATTCATCAAATCCATGGATGAAGAAAAAAAAACGTTACTTATCACTTAACATGAGGGCACAAGTTGACAAGTGCCTATAATTGTCTAACACATTTATAGAAAATAAGAAGTTTTATTGACACAGTGAAAAATAATCAGAAAAACCAAAGTGGAGAACATAACCTCTGTAAACGAAAAAAAAAAATAACAACACAAACATCAGCACAAAAGCACCCTCCAATACCTTTGAATATCTGTAGAAGAGATGCCCTGGGAAAGGCCAAAAGCTTAAAATGAAAAAAAGGCCAAATAAAAAATGATCCTAATGTTCCTGACGTTCCTATTCAAAAGACGATAGGAAATCCCAATAAAGTTTGCACGAGTTATCTTGAGAGACAATATTGTTGACAAACAGAAGAGAATTCCCTATTATATCTGTTCCTCAAATACACTAGAAGACATTTTCTCAAAACTCAAGTAGAAGCAACACCCAAAACCAGAAAAGGAAAGAACAATACCTAAACAGATTTCATACAGCTCAATCCAGTCTGGACAAAAGCCAAGAGAACCCCATACAAACCATAAACAGGGTAAATTGTAAGCCCCACCGGAAACAGCTTAGTTCAAGTCACACAACTACCAACGTCACACAACTTGTGTCATGTAGCCTAGCCATAGCACAGATGTGGTTACATAATCAGAACCTTAGGGTTCAAAAGGAGAAGGTCCAAAGCAGGTTCATTTTTGAGCAGTGAATGACGAATGTCATTGATTAACTGAGTGGTTGAATAAGTTTAGTGCAAAACAGGTTTATTTTTGCATCTGCCCAGTCCAACAACCACGTTTCAGCTTAAGCTTGCAACTTTCTGAAAACACACATTCATGACAACTATCTGAAAGTAGTATTGCAGGATTCACAAGCAATCCCACCAAAATGTGATCATAAGTGGGAGCAAGATTGCAAAGGCAAAAAGGAGCACATAGAATTGTACAACTGAATGATCTGCATCGCAGTTTTGACTACCATGCTCCACACAGTTCAGCCTAAACTAAATATTGAAGGCTGATGCCCCGTCTAATGTGAAGGGTGCTTAAGAAAATTAACATAATTGCATTACATAGTTGAACAATCCTCTGGCTAATGCATAGTTGAACAATGCATTGCAGCCTTTTGGTATTGCGCACTTAATGTTAAGTGTTTGTTACAATTGAATGAAACATAATAACAGAATTTTCAGAAACCAGTACCTTCGACAACAAAATTTATGGGACGAGCTTGACTAACAGATTTTCTAGGACGGACATGCAAAGTGACTGCAACGCATTTCCCTTTAACGCATTTATTCAGTTCTTCACTCTCGTACATTTTAGACAAATCATAATCCAACTAAGTCATATTTCCCTTCTCAATGGATTCTCATTCAATTCTAAAGAAAAAAAAACTCAAAAAGAATAGCATATACAACCATCTGTCAAACCAAAACTAAAGCATTAGCAATCAAATAGCCTCCTATACCTTATCCTACAAGATTTATCAAATACGATGGCAAACACAGACACACACACACATACATGTCCAAAAACAACCACTAATGAATTCACATTAAAACAGAGTGAAATCAGCATTAAACTGCATACCAGCAAGGGAAAGCCCACAACAACTGCTCCGGCGGCACTGACGACAATAGCAGAAGTAGTGAAGGCGACGGAGCTGAGAGCATCAGAAACCATACCCATGGCATAAGCCCCGGCAGCAGAAGCCCCTCCAAGCAAGGTGATAGTGACGAGAACATAATTGAGAGGCGGCGGCACCTGAATGTACCTCCCAAAGGAATGGAAAACCACCCTAACCTCCAAGGCAAGAACGACAAAGACAAGAGCAACAGCGCCATTGACGACACGAATGCTGTGTAACTGGTTGGGGTTGCTGGTGACCCACCACAGCGCCCCTCTGGTGGAGGCGTAGAGCTGAAAGAGGAAGGGAACGAAGAAGAGGAGGATGAGGTCGCAGAAGGAGGCAGGGGAAGAGAGAACGAGGTTGTAGTGGGAAGCGATGTGGAACAAGAGAGGGATGAAGAGAAGGTAGAGAGTGTGGACGCAGCTTTCGAGGGGTCCGAGGATGAAGCTGTCGCGGGGAGCCTCGCCGCCGTGGTACCGGGCCTCGTGCTTGGTCTTGAAGGAGGAGACGCGGGGGAGGGAGAAGAGCCAGTAGAAGCAGCATCCGAAGGCGGCGAGGTAGTAGGCGGCGTTGTTGATGCCGACGGCGGCGATGGCGGCCCAGGCGAAGAGCGCGGAGGCGGAGATTGGGAGGCAGGCGAAGAGGAGGCGCTCTAGGGCAACCGCGATGGAGGGGTTTTCTAAGAGGAGCCACTTGAATTGGAGGGAGGACCAGACGCCGAGGAGGAAGGTGGTGTGGGCGCAGAGGAAGGAGGCGAGGACGGCGGCGCCCACGGAGGAGTTGAAGGCGGCGAGGAGGGAGGAGGAGGCGGAGAGGAAGAAGGCGAGCTGCGCGAAGATCAGGGAGAACCACACGCTGAAGAAGGCCGCGGGTTTGAGGTTTAGGGAGTCCAGGATGTAGGAGATCATGAGGCCCACGACCAGGGTGGCACCCACGGTGGTGCCGCCGAGGTCCAGGAGGAAGAGGGCGGAGGGGACCAGCGCGATGGCGATCCGGTAGTTGTGGCCGAAGGCGGAGGGGCTTTTGAGGGATCTGGAGGCGCCGGTGCCGTTTCCATGACCGTGGAGCGACGGCGATGCGGCGGTGTCGTTAGGGTTTGAGGAGACGGATAGGGAAGGGGCGCTTGTGGAGGATGATAGCGGTATGTAGGGGCGGAATGCGCGGGGTTGCAGCATTTTATACTGCGATTCTTATTCTTCTTCTTCTTCTTCTTCACTTCAGTACCCAAAACTCGATCGAGGAATCGATGAAGAAGAAGCTAATTGCTGACTTCATTCATCTGCACAAGAGCTAGCTAGCTGGAGTCGTTTTCCACTCTCTTTTTCTTTGGTCAAACTGTCTCTGTATTTTGGTGGGCCTCCGTGGTCTGAACTCACAAAAAGGCCCCGTGGGTACCTTATTGGGTTGGGCTTCTACCAAATTGGGCTCACCGCTCACGTTCTATCTTTCCTCCGAAGACGTGTTTTGCGGCGTATTAGTATTACAATATTTGAATTACTGTGCGGTTTTCCTAAGCATGTATAACTTAATTACATTTACAGCTACATCCTACAATAATCATTAATCAATAATTAAGGTTCTGTAAGCAAAACAGAAGCCCGCAATGTGGCTTCATCAACATGGGTTTAGATTGGTGTAAGAATCGTTATTTTAGAAGCCGAATCGAACATCTGTGAGCAAATTTAAAAAATATAATTATTAGTATTTACCAATTGTGTTGATGTTGAATTACTCAAAATAGTTTATAATTAATTAATTAGACGGTGATCCAATTTGTCTTGAAAGAGAAAAAGGAAGAAAAAAAACGATGGAGCAATTTATGCTGAAGAAAGCGCGTTGTGTGTTTGATAGGATAATAATTTAGGCTTCAATTCAAAACTAAAACCCACAATGTGAGTTCATTCGAGTTGGGCTCAAAGAAAGCGGGGTTGATCTGTCTATCCTCCAAAGACGCGGGCGGAACAATTTGCTCATGTATTTTACAGCTACACTTTTCCTCAATAATCAGTAGCTTCAATTACAACTTTAATTTCTTCAATCATCAAAAATTAAGGTTTTATAATTTATAAATAAAATAGGAGCCTACAATGTAGCTTGGCTTCTATCAATTAAGTTGTGCTCAAAGAAAGCGCGTGGTGTCTTTCCTCCGTAACCATGTGTTTGTTCTTGCAATCTACTGTCACTGTTGGAAACAGCATGTGCTTGTGTGTGGGTGTGGGCAAGTAAAACTTAATTACAACTCCATGTGCAATTTTCCTGGATGATCGATACTTTAAATTTCTTTAGACCAGGAGAACAAGTAAATAAAGATACGCTCCTTTTTCATGTCGGCATCGTATAATGGAGACTGCCTGCCCTGCACTTTCACATTCATCTATGAAGCTTAAGCAGCATGATAATGATGGATGGGACGGGTGGTTCCTCTTGAATGCAAATGCATCCACCTGTTACGCGCATTTACACTATACAACAGAAGTTGTGCAGGAATCATTATCGCTGCTATTAATATCCAAGATTATTTTGCTGCCTGCTCTTACGTACGGCTAGCGTACAATTCACTCCATATCTTCACATTTCAAATAAAATGCATGATAGGAGGGGGAAATAATCAAAATGAGACTATACATGACAATAATGTATTCGCCGATCACCTCAGAAGAAGCAACCTGAGTAAGTAGTGTGTGACTATGTCGCACTGTTTTTAATAGAATTCAAACATAATATAATGCTAAACGCGTATCAATAACATTAAGGCACTCCTCCCATCCCATTCATGAACCTGCGTAATTGTATCGCTGGCTCATTGGTCCGAGTTTTTCGTACGAAAAAGCTTCACGTCACGTAGGTAGGGCCACCCGTACTACCTAATCCCCCAGCTCAATTCGTGTGCAATTTTGCGAGGCATTATTGCGCACGTTGCACTACTCTATCTAAATAAAGGCTTCAAATATAATTAAACAAAAACATCCAAACCAAAGTTTAAACAACTTAAGTGAAATACAACTACCAGACTAAACGATGATTAAATCAGCACAAAAGCTTTTGTAAGAACGTACTAGTGTAATGTTAATACTAACTCAACAAAAAATGGTCCTTGACCTTTACGAAGGTACTCCGTCTCTTGACTCTTCACTATCGGATAAGGTGTGTCACGAATCGTGGGTTTTATCTTTGCTCGGGGGTATTTCAGAGGCTGTAACTTGGCTTGAATACTTTTTAATTCTCAAGGAAATAAGTACACTAGACAAAATGCCAACTACAGGAAAAGAGTAGGACCAAATTTGAGATTTCTTAGAGCCAGAGGCTGAGGCAACCGCAGCACCAGCAAGACTTCCAATAGATGTATTCTGCAAGATCATGGGGAGACATCCAACAGCAGTAGGAAGAAGGAAATCCAGAAAGAATCCAACTTCAGTAGCCGCTAAGGTATAGTTAATAACGTAAGAGGGCACGGGTGAGAAGCGGGCAAGAAGAACAAATTTCCAACCATCTCGCTCAACTCCTCTAGAGATTAAGTGAAAATATCTGTTTCTTTGGGCCCACTCCACTGCTGAGCTTGATTTCCTGAACACAAACCTGAAAGAACCCAAATGTCAGACAGACAAGCAAAGAGAAACAGCTCAGAAATTACATGTAGGCATAGCACATCTAATCAAATAGACAACATGTCATTAACACATGGACATCATTCTTAAGTTAAACTAGAATAGTATTCATATTTCACACAAACGCCGCCATTAACTAATCCTATGAATTAGCATTTATTGTTTGCATATACACTAACAGCTCTTTTCGTCAGACAGTACAAAAGTCAAAGAGGCAAAAACTAAAATGAATGGTTTTCTTGAATTTCTATTCTAATTAAGCTATAAAGTTCGAACTCAACAACTTTTTAAGGTCAACTTGAATGAAGCGATCTATAAATGTGTGTTTGAAAAGACGTCATATGTTTTTCCAATCCATGATATAGTTACTTTGTTATTTGATGTATTGAAACGCGTGAAAATCCACTTTAGAAATTAGAACATCTTAATGTGAAATCAAACATATAGTAAGTTTTCCCATTCCCATTGATATAAATTAGGTCCACCTAATTGTGAATGAGGACACAAGCTAAGTAAACATATCATTAACTCACGGTTTCCAGAAAAATCACAATGGTTTTGGTACAATGGCAGCACCCCGGCAACTCCTATTCCTACTAACTAATCAAATTTCTAACACGGGCCCAGTCCAAATTTTGTACATTTAATAAACTAATTTCTAAAATTAAAGTCTTATATTCATGAAATCCATGGATGACAAAAAAAAGTATTAGTTATTCCACATCACGAGGGAACAAGTAAGCAAATGCCTATAATTTTTTTGACTCATGTATAGAAGATGAAAAGTTCTAATAAAATGCAAACCGTAAGATAAAAATATAAATATAAATAAATAAATCAAAGAGGAGAATATAACCCCTGCAAAGAAAACAAAAGGATAAAAGACAAACGCAAGTCAGCACAAAAGCAGCCTCCGATTGCTTAGAATATTTGCATAAAGAGAGATGCCCAGGAAAAAAGGCGTGAAGCCTAACAAGAAGAACAAGAAAACGCCAAATAGATAACAATCCTAAAGTTCCTGTCACTACTTTCCCAAACACAAAAGGAAATTAAAATTCCAATTAAATTCTTCTAAGCTATCGTAATAAAAAAAAAAATTGAGGAGAACCAAGGTTTTAAAAAAAACAGTCCTCGACGCAACATCAAGGTTTGTTTTTCGGACGTGGTTGAAATTATGACAGCATTTATCCACAATTTCCTGCTATATTAAGGAATAGTGACCACAATTTAAAACCATGATGAGGACTAACAACAGAATCCTTATTCCCTCTGCTCACTGGACAAATCAGGCATGCTATCATCTCCAAATTGTTCTGACCAACCAATTTGTTTCCATAAACTGAAAATTACGGTAACATGATTAAAAAACCTAAACATGAGCTCCAGTTTCAATTTCAAGGAAGGCTCCACGCCAGAAAATAACCAAAATTCAGATTTAGTATTTTAGTTAGATCATCCAAAGCTATACGCAAAAATAAACCATCAACTAAACGTTACTTAATATTCTTAAGAAAATGAATATGAACCTAATCAGGTAGTCTATAAGTCTAATAACACTATAATATAAGTTAGACTATGGTAACATTTTAAGAAAGTACATTGAGTATGTGAATTCGGATCTAACTCAAACTTATAAAATTGATTAATAAATTGATAATTCATTTCCACTTATATACATTCTTATAATTATGATTATCTCAGCAGTCATCATGGCACTATTTGACGAAGAATCTCCAAGAAATATTGAATTAACAATTACAAGTTCTAACATAAACAATTATCCTAAAAGGATTGAAGAAGATGGAAATTAACCTGCCGATCGAGAAGGAGAGAGAGGCTGCGAGGATTTTGGCGGAGAAGACACAGAATACGGAAGGGAGGAAACCGAAGAGGAGAGGGGCGGCGGTTTCGAAGAAGATGGCGGAGGGCAAACAGAGAGCGATGGAGACGGTGTGGACGGAGACGTAGAGAGGGATCGCCCAAAACCCTAATTTGTCCGACCAATCTCTCACGAACTTGAACGCCGCGTCTTTGTCAAATCCACCGCCCTGCCACCCTCTCCACGCCGCCACTATCGCCACCAGCACCGCCACCTTCCACCACCACCGGCGCCCCATTTTTGCGGCCACCTGAGTAAATCTTATTGGATGGATTATTATAATAATTTAATGCTGTTAAAGATTAAAGATAGATGCTACATTTATCTATTTCAAGAGACTTCTACTTGTACTACCATTTTCTTGACTTTGTCTTTCATATGTCGTGCCTAATGCGTATCAGTGATTTTACATTATTAATTCACTTATTCTTTTATTTTCGTTCCTGTCTCCGCTAAGATCTGAATTAAAAATATTGTTTAATTTCTTTTTATAAAAACTAACTTAAAATATGTCTTGTATTAATTATTTTTTATAAAATAAATTTAATTAAAAATATGCTTCTCAATTAAAAAAAATCATTTTTAAAAAAATGTGTATAAATTTTAAATAAATTTAATAATACCAAATTAATTAATTTCTTTAATCTTAATGAATCAAGTAACTTGTATTATAAAAGAAAATGAAAAATTCTCAATTTCTTCTTTAGCAGGTAACGTACTAATTCTTTTCTTCACTTTTTTATTAGAAAATTTTAATATTTTATCCTTTTCTGTCTTTAAAGAACTTTAGAATTGAGGTGTAGATTTAATATAATTTTTACTAATTATTCTATCATTTAATAACTCTATTTTATTGATTCAACCGTTGAATTATAATTGTATATCATCTTATTTATATATATATATTATATTAATTTTGTTTTATAAAAATAGATATCAAATCATCTTTAATTAATATAAAATTTTGTATATATGATTTAGGAGTAAGAAATTTTCAATTTAATTGTGAATTTTCAAAATTATCATTTAATTAAAAATTATTAAACAATTATATATATATATTACAATTTTAATTATTTGTTATAAATATAAAATATAATTTCATTTAAAAATAAATATTTAAAGTAAGTCACTAACTAGATCTTTAAACATGGCAAACATTGTCATTTTAGTCATTAAAATAACTAGAGGAAAAAAATAATGCTTAAATGTATGAATTATTTCTCACTTTATCTCTTTGGTAAATGCTCCCAAACAAACTTAAATACTTTATGGTTGTATTGACAATACACATTACATGGTACTAACTTAGGAAGCTATGACCAATATCTAAATACATGAACAAAGATCAAAATGAAGTAGATAAGAACCCAAAAGTATCAACACTACCATAAACCCAAAATTTTTCTAATTAAATGTGGCTTTTCTTATCATTCAAATGAAGTCTCAAGCAACAAGTTAGAAAATTTGTATGCATGATATGATCATGAATAAAATGATCCAAAGGATTTAATACTTGATAACTAAAATGATGTTGGGGTGGTCATGATAAAGACTCATAGCATGAAAGGTCACAATAAGATCCAAAAAGGTACATAATAATTTATTGAATAATGAAAAAAACAAGCATAACACTAGAGATGGTTTGTTCTATAACATAGGAAAGACCTACTATACACATAAGTGTCATTTTTAACGTTATCTCACAAACTTTTCTTTTCTTTTTTATATTCAAATTGTAGACCAATACTAGTCCTTAAATAGGAATCCTTACTTATTAGTTGGAAATATTAACAATCAATCATAAGAATTCTTCATATTTTTATTTTTTGAGTATACATTTCCTACATTTTATTAACAAAGACTCAATAATTCATTATTTAACAATTGTGTAACATTGGATGGATGGATGGATAATGTTGTATATTCCACTCCTATAATTTTCTTCTTTATCATCATTGTCTTCTATGGCCAAGTATTACTATTACACAACCAATAAAAGCTTATTTGAGTACAAGTTATAAATCTTTTTGAATGTTTCTTTATTGAAAATAAAGAATATTTTCTAATGGAGAAATGATCAAAACAATTTTAATTTATACCTAAATTAACTTTAAATTACAAACCAAATTCTCAAATTTTCATGTTATCTGAATTTAACACTTTTGAAATATCCATACTTCTCAATACAATTACTATTATAAATGACAATAATAAAAGAGCTTGAGGATTACTCATATGACCTGCAAAAGGATTAAAAAGATTGTCATTGAAAAAAAGGAAAGGTAATGACATTCGAAAAGGAAGAACGTGTTTGGTTGAAAGATATTGAAAGGAAGGAACATGAGTTTATGACAATAGTGACATTTTTAATTTTTAGTTAGTAATCCAAAATATAAAGTTAGTTAATTTTGTTTGATGTGAAAATAGAATATGACAGCTATTGTAATGAGTATATAAGGAAATATATTGTATTGCTAGTTATTAATAATAAAAGTCTCATTCTATATTCTCTTGTGTATTATCCTTAACACTTATATCATGTGTGTGTGAGAGAGAAAGAGTAAATGTTCATCTTCGACCCTAATATAGTGGTATCAAGAGCTTATGTAAGGGAGGGAACTATGAGAAAAGAAAAGAAAAAAACACCATATTGAAAAAGCATTATGTGTGTGTGCTTCAATGGCCAATGCAAGTAGCATTCATGGGAATCTTCTTATATTTGATGGGAACAATTATGATGATTGGTTTGTGAAGATGAAAGTTATTATTGGATTTCAAGAAATTGATGAAGTGGTACAAATTGAGTTCCAAGAATCTCCAAATAATGCATCAGAGGAACAAAAGGAAGTGTACAGGGAAAATAAGAGACTTGACTACAAGGCTTAGGTGATACTCCATCAATGTGTCAATGTTGTTGCCCTTCAGAAAATCTCCAAAGCAGTTACTACAAAACAATCCTAGGACATATGCAACAAGCATATGGAGTTTCTAGGAAAACCAAGAAAGTAAAGTTTTAATCCCTACGAAGACAATATGAGTTGTTATTAATGACTAATCAAGAAACAATTGCATAATATTCCAACAAAATTCAGATTTTGGCCAATGCTATGAGATTGTTGAAAGGTACTAAGAACCTTAGCTCCTTGATATGATCATATAGCCATAGCCATTGAAGAATCTAAAGATATGGATTTTATGACAATAGAAAAGTTATAGAACTTTTTAGAGGTGCATAAGTAAAGGGTGAATGAGAGAAGGAATAGTGAAAAGGCTACAAAATAAACCTTACAGGCCAAAATCAACCACAAAAATAGAAGTGGTGGTAGCTAGAACAAGAGAGGTAGAGGCAGGTCTTAGGGAAGAGGATGAAGTGGAAACTTGAATGCTAAAAAGTGGAAAGGGCAAGTAGAACTATGAAGCAAACTTCGTCCAAGATGATAATGTGTCTGATTCCGATCAAGTATTACTCTTAATGACCACAAATATGGAGGAAGATTGCTCCTTATGATATCTTGACACTGGTTACTCAAATCATATGACTGGATATAGAGATTGAATGGTGGATTTTGATTCAAATGTCAAGAATAAAGAAAGGTTTGTTAACAATGGCACTATGCTTGCAAAAGAAATTGGGAGAGTAATGATCACAAGGAAAGATGGTAAACAACATTTATGAATGATGTGTTGTATGTGCCAATAATGAAGAATAAATTGCCCAGCCTAGGACAACTACTAGAAAAAAGGATTCTCAATGTTAATGTAGCATAATCACATTGATATTTATGACTCAAAACAAAGTTTGGTGTTGAAGAAGCCCTTGTCAAATAACAAAACCTTTAAACTCGACTTGAATGTTATAATAATCCATGCTTATCCACCATTAACATTAAAGAAGAGGGTTGGTTATGACACTACAAGTTTAGGCATTTAAACTTTAAGGGTTTAAATCAACTTGGTAGCAAACACATGGTGCCTAGACTCCCATTAATCACACCAACACAAAAGTTATGAGAAGGATGTTTGATAGGCAAGTAACTAAGGAAAGCCTTCAAGCCTAATGCACCTCGAAGAGGCAAGCAACCCTTTGGTATAGTCAATTTAGATGTGTGTGGCCTTTTTGACACTCCTTCACTTAGTGGCAACAAGTATTTCACGACATTTGTAGATGAATTGACTTGGAAGATTTGGTTGTACCTATTGAGAGAGAAAAATAAAGTGTTTTCCTTATTTGTCAATTTTTGCACACTTTGTTGAAAGGCAAAGTAGCTTTAAATTAAAAATACACATAACAAATGGTGGTGGTGAGTAAATAATTCTAGGGAGTTTAAAGAGTTTTGTGCTACAAAGGGTATTGAACATGAGGTGGCAACTCATTGCACACCTCAACACAATAGCTTAACAAATAGAAGAAATAGGACACTGTCAAATATGGCTACATGTGTGCTAAAAGGAAATAAGTTACTTCATAGTTATTGGGGTGAGGCAATGACAACAACTTCTTATGAGCTGAACAAATATCCCACAAAAAGATTTAAAACAATTACACTTGAAGGAGTTTGGTTTGGAAATAAGCCAATTATGCATCATTTTCAATATTTTTGGTTCGCTTTGCTACAAACACATCCCTCATGAGAAAAGAACGAAATTAGATGACAAGAGTGAAGTTTTTATAATGTTTGCATATCGCCTAACTAGTGCTTATAAACTCTACAGTCCACATTAGCAAAAGATTGTATGAACAAAGATATCACAATAGATGAAACAACATCATGGAATTGAGAAACTAAAATTGAAGACAATACCCCTTGTGTCTTTGAAGAAGAAAATTAGAACAAGTAAAGGGACCTAAATCTGCCTAAAAAAATTAGTAGAAGGATCACAGAGAGTGAGATTCTCTTCCAATAGGCTTGTTGATCATGGAGTGTATATTGATAGTGCAATTTCTGATAATGGTGAAATGGTACATTTCACATTCATGGTGGATATAGAACCACTAAATTAGGAACAGATACTTGAAAATAAAAGAGTGGAAGAATGTTATGATTCAAAAACTAGAAGCCATTGAGAGAAATAAGACCTAGGAACTAGTGGATATTCCACACAACAAACATCCAATTGATGTGATGTGGGTGTTCAAATTCAATTTCAAACCAAATGGGATAGTTGCAAAACACAAGGCCAAGTTCATGCCAAAAGGCTTCCTTTAAAGGCATGGAATTTACTACATTGAAGTGTTTACTCTAGTTGCAAGAATGGAGATAGTTAGACTTGCGATTATTGTTGCTAAATCTAGAGGTTGGTCAATGAGCCAACTTGATGTGAAGTCAGCCTTCCTCAATGGACCATTAGAGGAAGAAGTTTATGTCCTACAACCA